GCCGTTGCTGGCTGCGGCGGCAGTCGCGGCGACGGCAACGGTGGCGGTGACAGCAACGATGGCAGTGGCGTCAGCGGTGACGGTCGTAGCATGGCAGCAATCAGCGGCAACGGGAGCAGTAGTGGCGGTTGTGATGATGGTGGCTGTGATTGTGACAAGTACTACGGCAGTACAAGTAGCTATAGAGCTTGTAGAAGCTTGACCAAGCAAGGTTAACCTGACGATGATAACCCCCCTCCTCCAAATAAAAGACAAAAGTTACTTCGCATTCTCAGTTTACGGAAACTGGGGGTGGGGGTAGGAGTAGGTAGTACGGGTCGCAGCACTAGTAGCACAAGTAGAAGGATGCGTATGCTCACCGCCTCGTGCGCATTTGTTGAAGTGGAACATGGGATGTTGGGAGGTGAAAAATGCTGGAATGCTCAAAAAAAGACTGAACCTGACCAAACACTGCAATGCTCAAAGAATTGATTCTTAAGTTCTGGGATCCATGGCCAGGAAGTCTAAAAATCCGGGAATTTTGTGCGTCTCCACGAAACACTAAAAAAACGCAAAGGACTCCCAGTATTCCATGTTGTTTAAAGGCCTGGTTCTTGACTTTTCCATTGGACCCAGATTTTTGTATCTTTTCAGGCATTACGAAGGAATTTCAGGGTTTGAAATTTGTGGATTCGTTGCAAGGGTCATCTAAAGCTGGAACACACTTATCCAGGAACGGAATCTGTGTCTGCATTTAGGTGAGTCATGGGCAGAAAAGCATACATGTTAACGGGTGAAAAGATCAAAACCCCGCAAATAGCAGTGGTCTGCACTTATGAACATGTGTGAATATATTAAAATGACATGAAGCACATCCAGAATAGAAACCATCATGGGGGAGGCCAAGGAAATCTATTAATATCAGGATATTCTCGGGCACAAAGTTCTATTATTGTCACTCCTTTATTTATTGTCGGTCAAACTGTTTATCGGTTTTCAGGGCTCTGAACTTGTTAGAAATCAAAAGTGGTAGTTCCGGACTTTTGCTGGCCCTGCGGGAATATGTTTTCTCACCCCTTTGTCCATGCCAGGCCAGCATTGGCAGCAGTAGCAGCGCTTGTTGCGGTCGTTGTCACATGTAGCAGCGAGACGGCGTACAAACACCCTTAAACGGCTTTCCTTTAAAACACCCCAACTAAAAAGTAAGAAGCCCCGACAAAAAACCCTTGAAGTAATGCGCAACATAGCATGAATGCGCGACATCATGACTAGCGGCCAAAAATAACTCGATGAAAACAAAGCATGTTGCCAACTCGAGTGCTGCGAGCACAAATCCCTTGCAAATCGAGCGGATTTGGGAGGAACCACAAGGTTGCCTTCCTGGTTGGACAGCCCCACCACCCAGGTGATTCCCAAAAAGCGTTAGTGGGGGAGTCCCCATTTTCTAGCTTTCGGGGCTCGAAAACTCCAAAACGGTGACTGCCCCCCATGTTGTCTTTTTAGTTGGACAGCCCCACCACAAAACAAGGCTGGTGGGGGAGTTCTCCATTTTCAAGCTTTTGGGGCTCGAAAACTCCAAAACAGTGACTCCACGGCAGGTATCCGTGGGTTACCTTTTTCGGTTGGAGAGCCCCACCAGAAGGGTGATTCCAAAAAAAAGCTGGTGGGGGAGTCTCCATTTTCAAGCTCTTGGGGCTCGAAATCTCCAAAACGCTGACTGACGCAGGTTGCCATTTGTGGTCGGACAGCCACACCAGAAGGGTGATTTCCAGCAAAGTTGGTGTGGGAGTGTCAATTTTCAAGCCTTGGGGCTTAAAAACCTTCAAAACGGTGACTCCACCGCAGGTTGCCTTTTTTGGTTGGGCGGCCCCACCAGAAGGGTGATTCCTGAGGGGGGCTGGTGAGGGAGTCTTCATTTTCAAGCTTTTGGGTCTCGAAAACCTTCAAAACGGTGACTCCCTCACAGTTTGCGTTTTTTGGTTGGACAGCCCCACCAGAAGGATGATTTCCAAGCAAAGTTGCTGGGAATCTCCATTTTCAAGCTTTTGGAGCGCGAAAAAAACTCAAAACGGTGACTCCCGCGAAGGTTGCCTTTTTGGTTGGACAGCCTCACCAGAAGGGCGATTCCAAAAGAGCTCTTCGAGGAGTCTTCATTTTCAGGCTATTGGGGCTTGAAAACTCCAGAACGGTGACTCCTCGCAGGTTGCCTTTTTGGTTGGAAAGCCCCACCAGAAGGGTCATTCCCAAAAAAAGTTGGTGGGGAGTTCTCCACTTCCAAGCGTTTGGAGCCCGAAAACTCCAAAGCAGCGACTCCCCCGCACGTCGTCTTTTTGGTGGGACAGCCACACCAGAACGGTGATTCCCCAAAAGGGTTGGTGAACGAGTCTCCATTTGCAAGTGTTCGGGGCTCGAACACTCCGAATTGACTCCCCCGGGAAGCGCTTTTGGGGCTTGAAAACTCCAGAACGGTGACTCCCAGCAGGTTGCCTTTTAGTTGGACAGCCCCACCATAAGGGTGATTCCCAAGCAAAGTTGGTGGGGGAGTCTCCATTTTCAAGCGTGTCGGGCTCGCAAACTCCAAAACAATGACTCTCCCGCAGGTTGCTTTCTTGGTTGGACAGCCTCACCAGAAGGGTGATTTTCAAGGGGCTGGTGGGGGAGTCTCCATTTTGATGCTTTCATGGCTCGCAAGCTCCAAAACGGTGATCCCCAGCAGGTTTCCCTTTTGGCTGGACAGCCCAACCAAAAGGGTGATTCGCAAACGGGCTTGGTGGAGGAATGACATGCTTCTCATGGCTGTATCATGCAACAACACGATTTCAGAGCCACTATCGCGGCAAGAGGTTGCGACCTTAACCATGTTCCGGGAATCCTGTTGCTGTTCCAGAGAAACCTCGTTTTGGTTACTACCATGTCTTGCGGATTTGGCAGCTGAATACAATAAACTCCATGCCATGTGCTCAAAACAACCATCAAACGAACTTTCAAAACCTTGCCTTCAGAGGCCATGGGTGCGCTGATCCAACGTGGTCGCTAACCACGACGGTACCATGTTTGTTGGCGATCGCTATGCAGGCATTTGCGGTAGCAGCAAATTCGTGGTGTTACTCTTCTGCTGCCAATGTAAAAAAAGAAGGAAACGTAATGGGCTGCTGAATGCTGTTGGGGTCGGCATCACACAAGGGGGAGGAAGCCCACTTAGCTTTGAGCAACGATCCAGATCCCTAGTGCCTTCTCCCGTGTCGTCCGCAGTTACCCCTTTTCCGGCGTCTTCATGCACTTGGTCCACTAGTCCACGATGCCGAAGCTGATGGGGATCCTCAAAAGGCAACTGATCCAAAGGTTGCTGACAAAAGTTTAGCCTACTGTTTTGTCACCAATCAATCCTATCCTATGAACTGGCTGGTGCAGACAAAAACTCAGTCCTGCAACCAGCATCCATATCCGCAGGGGGTGAAGCCGGATGTCGCAGTGGAGCGCTGTTACTATTATCATCATCATCATCTTCCACAAGCTCCTCAGAGCAAGGGCAATGGCTGGCTCCAAGAAGGACTCTGGATAAAGTGGGAGATGCCGATCACACTAGCACCCTGCCAAGTATCGAAATGCCGAGGCATCCGAGCAGCAGTCAGTGATGGCTCTGGGACTACAGGCTTTGCACGCGTGACAGAGTTTGTGGGCAGCAGCACCGGCTTTGGACGCGAGGGCACCTCAGATTCCAAGCCGCCCATCAAGGCTTCATAGAACACAAGGCATGGGCTATGCTGCCAGAAGGTATGACTGAAGGCCACTGCCGTTGCCGCAAAAGCTGTTGCAGGATGCTGACCTCCGGGGCACCCTGCCCACCCAAAGCAAATACTAAATTCCGAGATGATGCGTCATTCCGTGTCTTGCTAAATTCCCCATTTGGTTGCCTGTCAGTGCCTTCTCGACCGCTGCTCGAATCGCAACATCCTTACAACTCAGGAGTCCAGCAAAACAACCACAAAAACATGCAGAGCTGTCCAAGCTTATTTTCCGCCCAGGAAACACTCCAAGCTAAACAGCACAACTCATCATTTCTCAAAGTAATTTGTTGCAATCTGCTGCAAGCAGGAGTCCTGCGCAGTGTCGCGCTCTCGCTCGACGTCCTCTGCCGTCATTGTGGGACTTGCCACGCCGTGCATACAACGGATCAATGGAACCGACGAAGTTACAACTTCTAGCTTCCAGGGGCTATGTACCAGGTTGGCTCCTCTTCTCGGCGCCAGCGAAACCGGCGAGCTAGAATCGAAAGTTTTGCAGGAGTAAAGGTAGCCTGTGCATCTGAACGCTGGCTGCAGCTGCAGGGATGATCAGTGGACTCCAAGCTCTCCGAGTCAAACAAAACTGCGGACTGCCGATGGGAGGGTGCCTTGCACTGGGAGCACCACAACCTTTCCGAAGCAAAAATACATTGGTTTTGCCCATGCTAGAAGGCACTGTACCTAGCAAAAACACGGATTTACCCTCTGCTGATGATGCGTCCAAGGATGTACAAGTCCACAATGCCACAACCTATCTTGAAGAAGGCTGCAAACCTTTTGGACGTGGGCCATGGCCTCCAAGGGTATCTCTCGCAGGGCTGCCCTGAAGCAGGTGTGCAAAACCAAGAGTCTAAAGCTGGACCATAGACAGAAAGTTGTTTAGCTCTCAACCAACCCTTTGCAAGGTCCAAACACGAAGCACCCTACCGCGTAAGTCTACAACCGGCTGTTGAGCATGGACATGCGTCACACGTGCCGCGTTCCCCCATGTCTGGGTCGGCGGAATGGCATGCAACCCTGTGCACACAAGTGCCATCGCAACGTGGGCAAAACTGGCCTTTCTTCTTCGGTCTCAGCGGCCTGCATGAGGCAGCTGCGTCGGTCGCGCTGCGCTATGCACCTCTTCATAACAATGCCACTGCATAGCTGGTGACAGCATGCCCCTGCAGCAGAATTGCAAAGACACCGTGATGGTGCTACTCACGTGAAAATGACCCAAAAAAAAACGCCTCTGATGTCATCGAAGCTCTAATCCTGGACCTCCCTCCCTGGAATTGGTTTCTGGAGCCTGTATCTCTTCCACGCAAACTCACAGATATGAGGCTTCCCGGCCCACCCACCCGCCCACGTTGCCAGTTGCCTTTGCAGCCACTTTCAGGATTCGGGCGTTGACGAAACAGCTTTTGCGTTTTCGAGTTTGGCCTGCGAACTCCGGGTGTAATTTGGAGTTGCAGTTTCAAGCCTGGGTCTTGAAGGGTTTTGAAATTTGGGATGGTTTAGTGAGCTCTGAGTTAGGACTCGGGCTGGGCGTTGGCATTGTTGAAACTACGGTTTAGGCCCTTCCGATGAGTATTCTTTTTCGGGCGCCTCTTTTACCACCCACAAACAGTCAAGATCCAGTCGGACCAGGCGAGCACGTATTACCTTTAAGGATGCGCCATCAAGAAATCCCTCTGTGCGCGGAAAGCTTCCAAAACCTCATGTCCCAGGTCCCTGGCTATGATAAGACTGGGTACATATCCATGCTGCCACCAAGTGAAGGCTCTGCCTCCCTCGTCGGACTGCAGAAATGACAAGGTGTCAACTGGATTACCCTCGCTCAAGCCCTCAGACGATGAGTATTTTAGGGTTCAGGGTGTTCGGGCTTGGGGTTTGTGGGGTTGGGTGTTGCTGCTTCAGGTTTTGGGGATTGGCACTTTAAGGCTTCAAGGTTCTGGGATTACGCATTGTGGAACCTACTGTCGCAATCGAGGTTTAAGATTCTAGGTTTTAGGGTTCCAGAGGTGAGGGTTTTGGAGGGTTTTCTCTCCCTCGGCCATGAGAAGCCCTAACTGGCTTCATTTGGAAGGCAGAAAAATCCAGGGCCGAGAAAAGGCTGCCATCAAATAGCCTTCTCAGGCTTAAGTAGCACTCTGGCTAGCTGGGTGTTGGCGTTTGAGGGTTTGGTGGTTAGTCTTTGACCGTTCTAGGGTTGGGTATGGGGATGATTGGTTGTAAGGCATTTTGGCTAGGGAAGGTGTGCGCGCATCTATGTGCTTTGGCACTGATCCAATTTCAGATTTGCGCAGCTTACTGGCCACTGCGGCGTACGTCCTACCTGTACTAAGACGGCGTGGTCTTAGGGTACCCAGTCCTTCGGAAAATGATCTGACAGATCTTGTAGGCAGCTTTTCAGACTTTGGGGTGCGAGCGTAGGATTCCAGCGTATTAAACAGTTTGAGTGGTTCAGTTTCCCTTGAATGACTTTTAAGGCAGATTTCAGGATCGGGATTCAGGAGTTCATCTGCCTGGGGCTAGGCTTGGGCTTCAGCAGACTTAAGACGCCGGACTTCGGGAAGTTAGAGTTTAGGGCCGTTTGGGGCGTGGGTCGTTAGATCAGGCAAAGGGTGCAGGTCTTGAGGCTCCGCCTCCAGAACAGTGCTCCTCCTGAATACTCGGACCCCTAGTAAGTTCCATTGCATTCCCTGTTGTCTGCCTCAGCTTCTGCGGGTTGAAGAGGCGCTGGAAGGACTCTTCATTTCGCAGACTCTCGCGGCCACAAATGAACCAAACACTGACTGCCAGCCGGTCCTGCACGCAAAAGTTCTAGAGCTCATGATCTTGTCACAGCCCGGGTCAGTCGCGATCAAAGGTATCAGCACTACTTCGAATACAGAGCAGCAATGCCACAGGAAGCCACCTTGAAGCTGGAAAGAACCTCATGAGGCACTTCCTGCGTGGACCAAAAGACAACCTCGGTTCTCAGCTGACACGTTTCTCTGCTTTTTTGTGAACTTTGGTCTTTGATGCTTCTGTCCCCTTGTCCTTCCCACGACTTTCAGCCTCTGTAGCCTTCTTTTAGCATCATGCCGCCAGAGCAGCCAAGCGGTTCCAAAGCGGCTCCACGTCGCGCTTCACCTGCTTCCGAGAAGGGAATGGTTCAAGCATATTTCACATTCAAAAGAGTAGAGGGCCACTTAAGTTGGAGGAATAAGCACGTAGATCGCTTTTAACACCCCTTCGCACCTATCTAGCAGTTGCTAGGGGACTGGTGCTTTTGGGCCAGTGGGATCTAGCAATACCCCTGTCAGATCTTGACGTCCGTTTCTTCATTCCTTACCACTTCCCTTGCTTGTCCACCCCATTCACTGTTTTGCACTACTTGTCCATCAACAGCATAGCTTCCAGAACTATCTGTGCCGTCTCCAACACTCTCAACCATCATGTCTTCCAACGTCCCATTGACCTCCGTTTCTGTCGGATTCACCATCTATCCCAACCTGGTTCACCTTGATGCCGGATTTCCCCTAGCTGCAGTCACCAAAACTCTGTTGCAACCATCAGGAACAAGCTCCTAATCCATCACCTCCAGCGATCCACCACCAGGAGGGGCCGGAACTCCCTGCTTCCCAACGTTGTGACTTCCTTTTCCGTGCCATGGCCCATTCATCCCAGACTCCGGCATTCTCAGCCTGCTCCGCTTTATCAAGATCGCCCGGTCAACATTTAAGTTATCCATCTGGACGTAGTTGGTCTGCCAGAAGTTTGGCATCACCCCTACTATCATGCACGTCCACAACCGGATCACCACGAAAGCGCTCCAAATCGAACCATAATTGAATTCTTTTCGCGCAGTTGGCCACCCACTGGTCCACGCCATCACGGTCCCCTATAAGGGTACACGGTTCAGGGTGTGAGGCAGAGGTCTAGTGGTGAGGTCTTTTTTCTTTTTCCTGCACGCGCGGGCGAAGTCAGACTGGACTGATGAGGTTGCAAGTTATTGCACACAAGTGCGCACCTGAGTTTGGTGCTTGACACTGGCGGGAACAATCCTGAAAGGCTTGAATTTCGAAGAAGACTGACACTGATCTTTGCATTATAGATGCATTTGCAGGGCTAGGAGGGCCAAAGGAGGGGTTGGGAGGGACCCACCCCACAGTTATTGACGCTGAGGTAGCGGCTAGGAGCGCCCCCCCGGCACACCACCTTAACTGCTATTTTCAGAGCCGTATTGGCCCCTGAGTGGGCTTCTGACCCACCAAGAGACTTGTAAACAACCACCACCACGAGCTCTTAATGAAGCTTGCGTCAGCGTCACTCTCAAACTCCACCATCCCATACATGGCAACACCGGAAATGCAAGTCGCTTCAACCCGTAGCACAGCATCACTGCTGAAGGAATCCAGAAGAAATCAAAGAATCGGCAGAGCCTTACCTGGCAGCTTTGCATCGTCGGTTCGAAGACACGGAGGCAGCCACCATCTGCAGGTCTCCTGAAGTGCCGGCGGCTGATGCGCTTTCAAGATCTTTCAAGTTCCCCTGGAAAGAGATTGTTCCGGTCAGATGGATTAGGTTCAGGATGTAGCTGCATCTCCCGCAGAGCAACCACAGAGGCACACGGTGACACACACATGCGGTCGTGGCTTCAAGCTGCAAACAAAATTTGAGCACGGCACACGAGTACTGGCAGCAGTCGTAGACACGTGTGGGGACCATGGAACACCTGGAGCAAATCAGACTTTGGGCGGCAAGCGTCCAGTCTTTGTTGAGGTAGAGTACAGCCGTCAGCCGCCGGCCTGAGGGGAGTCACAACCCACAACGCATCACATCGCACTTTGCTTGGATTCAAGGACATTCGAGGAGATTCGAGAAAATTCGGGTTAGGCCTCATACCACAACGAACACATCAGAACTAAAGGGGCTGCTTGTATGAACTTCATTGTAAGCCCCTTCAAGAAATTCAAAATTGTTGTGGAAAGCACTTGCTGGGGACACGGGGGAATTAAATGTACAAAGCACAAGACAGCTGTCTTGCCAGCAGGCCTGTGCATGCGATTCACATGAGCAGCAGAATCGCTTGGGGGGATGGAACACGACTCTCGCCACAGCTCTTGTCACCTCGATATCCGAAGCACACATTGGCCGGTGAGGCCGCAGCCATCAGTGCCAAGGGTGTTGTCCACGTGCTTGATGTAACGCGCGGAGTCACCCGGATAGATGGCAAACCTGCACAGTACAACACACTGGAAACCAGTGCACTTTGACTACGTCCCAAACATGCCATAGTACTACATGGCATACACTGGCTGTACCAACTGCAGTGAAACCTTGCGTTTTCTTTGTCACACTTACTCGGTGTTCCTTTGCACAATAGTTCCGCAAGGTTGGCCCTAGCTCTCACACAGAAATAGTGTCAAAGGTCTGAGGCACTGCTGTAGCTTGAGAGCCAAGGGGCATAGCCCCATTGGCCCAGTCCACGTGCTGCAGTCGGTCTGCCACCGCCTGGCAGCCCTGGAGTCCTGTCTTCAAGCGTGCCGAACATCCCAACATGCCAAAAGCATGTCTCCTTCCACCAGCGTGTCCAAAGCCTCCAAGAAGCCTGTCATGGGCATAGGATGGCACTGGATCCATGACACCTGGCCTGTGAGCCGGAATAGGCCTCGGCATCCCGGCATGTTGCCATCATCTGAGAACTTCACCACGTCACCGCCTTTGGGAGCTCTGTAGCCAGGAATGCAGAGACTTGCTGAGGCTTTGGGTGCGCATTTGCAGTCAAGGTTCGGCTGGGCTCGTTCAGGACCTGTCAAAAGAGTTCCGAATTTGGACTTTGCAGAAAAAGAAAGCTCGGGGCTTGACTCACACTACGAATGACCTGAAATTGTCGGTTGCTGCCACCCACTTTCTCTTGGACTTACAAAGAAGCTTGAGGTCTTCTCATCTGGCAACGTGTTTGAAGTTTCGCCAGGTATGGGACGCTAATAGCGTTCCAAGTCCTCACTGAGTTGGGGCGGTATCGTCTGACCCGTATCTAGCCATGGCAGCGAGCATCGCTGCCTCTTACCGCAAATGCGGCTCATCCGCATGAAGGCTAAGATGTTCTTTGAACATGTGCTGACACCAAGCAACACAACACGTCCCTACAATCACCCGTACCTGAAAGGGGCAAAAAGCACTGGAGAGCAGGCAAGTGGACACTGAAAACAAATTTGGACAATCCTCAACCAAGAAAGCACACAAGCACACGGAGATCCCTCAGCCGAAGACCTGAAACCAATGCAGCCAAAGTCTACTCAACCTCTGATCACCAAAAACCTCAATCAATTGAACCCTTGTCCCTGGCTGGACTCACCAAGCCATTCCGTTTGAACAGCTTGAACTCTTTTAGAGTTGTACTCCAAATACCTGAAGTCTTGGGTTGTACGCCTTCTGCAGCTCCTCTGTCCCCTTTGTCAAGGCTTTGCCTGCTGCCCCTGTGGCCCCGCGCACCTGGTCTTCTTATTAAAGCCTCACCCATTCGGGTTCGGAGATGTCTACCACAAGCAAAAGACTAGCCCTGACGGCCTGAAAATGTTCAGAGCACATGCAGTTCTGCCTTCTTGCCTGCATTCTAACATATTATGACTCATACTTGCAAAAGATCCTGCCTGACAAAGCGATGATAGTTTTGCAGCTTACTATGCAAATGCGATTAAACTCGATTTTGTTCACTTGAAGCTTCTTGTCCACTCACGGCTTCTTGTGTTGCTAGCTTGTGTTCTCTCCCCTCACGAAAAACAATCTCATCATTTGCAAATCTCCTGCTCTGTTTTTTGTGAACATGCTGTGTGCTCCTGGTTGAAGGCTTCAGCAATGTTCACGGGCTTGCTGGCTTTACGGTTTCCCAACAAGCAGCATGAGGTTTTCGTGAATGGGGCACTTTGGGTTTCTGGGTCTAAGGTTTCCGGGGCATAGGGCTGTAAGGACTCGATTGATACAAAGACTTGTTTTTCAGTACCCAAAATTGTTTTGCTTTTTGGCCCTGGAAGTTTTGAAGCATTATGGTTTTTGAGGTATGGGGCTTGGGGGTTCATGCTTCACTTTGCCGGAGTCACGCACCCTCAGTGTTTGCGCGCTGTGACGCCTGCTCTTTTTCGTCCGCAGCTTCCGGGCAAGCTCCAGGCACTGAAGTCTAAGTTTGAAGGAATGAAGCCAAGAGACTTAGAAGGAGTGGTCATACCATACCATACCTCGCGGCAAAATTTCCTGGACGCAACTTCTATCCAATAAGGAAAGTGCATGCCTTTCCCACAGGCCTGTGCAAGTATTCAGTCCTCATAAGCGCTGCGGAACACGATGTTATGCAATGTTCAATGTATGAGGAGAAGAAAAATTCATCCATTTTTTTTGGAGATTGTTAAGGTGGACCTCTGCCTCAACAAACCATGCCCAACCCATGAAGTCTTGAAAAATTGAAGCCGACTCTGAGCTGAGCACCATTTCTCCCCGCGACGCCTGTGCCCCCAGGAGCAAAGCCTCATAGACCATGGCAACGTTCCAAAATGCAGACGATCATCGCGCATTGGTGCACAGAATCCGAGATATCAAATGCATGAAGCATTATGTACCAAGAGCAGTGATCGATAGCTCATGGTTGGGAATTTTTTAATGGTGAGCCGTATATCTGTAAAGTAACGTCGGCGAACCAACTACAGTCATGCAAGCATTTGGCGAGCGAGATCGCAAAAGCGTCCTGCAGTCTCTGCCAATGGATTAATTCAACTCCTGGCATCTCAAACCATCTTACGAATGAAAATGAGTTGTTTCTTCTGTAGTCGAGAACTTGCCAGCCCTGCCTTTTTGCTCGCCTTTGAACCTTCAACCCCACACCGGGCACGTGCCACTACAACATAATTGCATTGTCAGGTGGAGAAAACACCGTCACGAGGCGAGCAGGGGATCAAGATTGAAATTGGAATGCTCGTCTGCGCCACAAAGCTTGGCAGCATTCGCAATCGGATGGATGCTAAGCTGGGCATTGTTTGAACGTAATGGCTTCACCCTTCCAGCGAAGGCTTTTTCAATTTAAAACATGAACTGCTCATTTTCTGGATTGCGTTTAGCATTCAGAATTGGAACATGTTTTCCGTGATGTTATGTGGTTAAGGTAGACAAAACAAAGCCATAGCAGCAATCATGATTTCCCACTCTAGGAGCACTCAACAGAAGCAGGACCCATTTACTCAACTGTGGGCACAAAACCATGATTGTCACATCCGACCTCAATGCTAAGTGCCAACCCGCTCTATCGCCTAGAACGCTCGTATCATTCTTGTGCGATTTTGATGTGCTGGCTTGCGGAAGTCCCTTGTACACTTCAACCCTGAGCTTCTACTTTGGGGTGTGTTCAAATGCGATTTACAGCTCATTGATGTTATCTATGTGAGCGTGTTGCGGCTAGCAACGCAGGGTCGGTGCCCGTTCCGTACTTGTTCTTTGAGTCCGGCGCTGCACAATGATACCAGATTCGAATCTCGTGGTTTCAACATGTGCGCATTCGCCCAGGCATATGAATGCCAGCTAGGCCGATGCGTCAGACAAAACTTTACCATACTTTCACCCACTTTCCAGCTACCTTGGCCATGGGCAAATATAAGGGCACGGCGTGACACGTCTCCTCCGGAAGAAAGTCATCCAGCACAGCAAGATGTTCCTGCATCATCGACCAAAAAATTCTCACCCCCACTCTCACGCATCTCCGCCGGGCTTCTCGGCATCTGCTGGAGGACTGCGCAACATTCTGCCACAAGCGCTCTGTCTAGCACACCAGAGAGATGCACTTCACAACCTGCAGTCCTCAGGCCTCAACCCAGAGCACGCAACAGCTGGACGGCCTTCTGCAAGGCTGCAGCTGTGAGGCGGAAGACCTCCGCCTGCCGCCACCACCGCCCACTTCCAGCCTCGCAGGGTGGCAACAAGATGCGGTCAAGGACAGGAGGCTCAAGGTATGCTCAGGGGAGGAAATGCCAGACGAGGAATTTCTCGAAGGCTGAGCCTTGGAGTGCTGCTTCGCCATCAAGAGAGGCAGGACTGCAACGCTGTCCACCTGAGTCCAGAAAACCTCTCAGAATCCCCCAAGATCCAGGTTCCCCACATATCTCCGAACCATTAAAACCTCCATTTGGCGGACTTTCAGAAACCTCAAGTAGTCCCAAAACTCCAAGCAGAACATCCCGAACCAAATTAAGCCCTCTCGGAATGTCGCTTCACGATTCAAACTTGGGATACGTGCACCCTAGGGTATGGCCCTCGTCCGACACACAGTGAAGCACAACCTCACTGAGCAGCACACACGCTGTCGGATTTGCGGAGTGGGGAGCCGCACAAGTGCTAAGTACCTCACCATCTCGTGACACAAGCTGCAGATCCCCTGTCTCTGAGCTTCTGAATTTCCCGTGTGTTGACAAAGAACCCATGAAAGTGTAGCCTAGCAGCTCCATCTCATAGATGAGGCGCATGGGATCCTCCTGCACAAGTAGGGGCGGGCGTTGCCAGAGAGTCTACAGCCCCGAAGCCAGGCAGAATCTGCATCAAGCCCATGAGTCATGAGGCTGAGGCTGACTCAAATTCATCCCAGCCGGCCTGGCACTGGCCTAGCACCAGACCACTGGGCAGCAGAGCCCAAACCTGCATGACTTTCAGCCTTTTCAAAAACTGATCAGAAAACAAAACTTTGCACATGGCCATTGCCGAAAACAAGATCAAAATTGCGATGCGTGCCATTGCACAAATGGGATCCTTGAAGAGAATCTTTGTGGGAGGCCCTCATCTCTAAATTTGCATGCGCGCTGCAATCCAGAATTGAAAGGAAATTGCAGACAACCCCAAAAATCCAGCTCCCAAGCTCCAACCTTCCTGGAGAGCGAGGTTGGTCGCTTTGAGGATGATAGGCCTTGCCACTGCGAACAAGGGCACTGGGGCTTACGCTCACACTCACAGCGAAGAAACGGATTGCACGCCTTGCAAGACTCTCTCTCCCTGCGGCCAGGCATGGAGCTGAACAGTTGGTGCTTGACCGGCCATCCTTGCAGAAACCCCAACAACACGAAAACCAAAGACACACGAAATGTCCTCAGGGTCTCTTCCCGGTAGGAGACTAGCTGGATTGCCCGAAGGCATTCCGCGCAGCTTGCATCATAAAGTACTTGGATCATGCTGTTATCGCAGCATGCCCCCGACCCATCTCCGGCATGACTAGAAGCAGAAAGGCATGATTGAAGATCGAAAAGATGTTGTGGCAGTCAGACACCTTCCACAAATTGAAGAAATTTACAACCTGCTGAGATCTCAAGCAAGTTTGATTGCTTCCAAAACATTCTCCTTCACTATTACCTCTGCACAACCATGATGGGCTGCCGCCTCACTTGTCTCCACGTGAATTCACTCTATCTTCTGATGCTAAAGGCCAGGCGGGGGCAACTTGAAATCTGCAGCCATGCTCTTGAATTCGGCATTCAAGACACTTCACACTTTAGTTTTCTTTAGTTCTTTGTTTGCAGGACGGATTTTCCTGGCGGCTCTAGGCCAAAAGCCCCGCGTCACCCAGCATAGAGCAGGCTTCACTGGTTCCTGGGAGTCAGCTTCAGGGAACAAAAATTTAGAGCACCGAGGCGGGTGGCAGGCAGAATCACAGACGTACAGTCATTATCTGGCATGCTCAGTAACTACTTTTACTACGGTGTTCTGCCTGCAACTCGTGAACTGGTGTTGCTACGATCTTGAATCCGTGACAGGCTCTTCGGAGCTTTCCGGTAAGCCACCACGTTTCTGGGGTCATCGGCCCCAACAAAGACACTTCAGAAAATATTAAAGCCTTAGTAACTTAGCAACCTTTGCTGCGCAGCCGTAGGCCAGCTTTACAGGTGCTGAAACGCATGCTGAATTCCCTGATCTGCGAACGGTCTAGGACCATGCTTCCACGGTATATCGCCCCTCCATCTTCAAATTGGACAGAATGGCTTCGGCGTCCTGTCAAGATGGGAATGCCAAAGCTAAAAGACCACCGGTGCACCACTGCAAAACGCATGCCAAAGTTCATTGGATGGGGGGCTGAGCTGGAAAAAACTCTTCGGCAGCCTCCTCTCCCACTCGCTCGCTAGCCATCATCACCTCCTTCATTGCTGTGTAGATGTCCTCAAGATTGGGAGGACTAAAGTTGATGCTCATACTGCCTCAGCTCTACCGAGGGTCCTCAGGCACCTGGCGAGCGCTGCCGCAGACGTAGAAGTGGCCATTCTGGCGCAGCATATACTCTGCAACCTTCTCCCCAGCCTCCATGATCCGATGCTGCACCTCAACTGCACATCACAGAAAGAATCACTCTCAACACATCTCAATACGCCACCATGCTGTCGCAGGCTGCTTAAATGATCGGTACTAGGCACATAGATCTTTCGAGCTTGCTCTCGGGAGAAAGCAGTGTGCATGGAGAGGACACCTTCCTTGACGTAGCTTTCAAACTCGTCTTTGTAGAGATACTCGATGGCATACCGTGCGCCGAAGAAGAGCATGCAAGGGCCCACCTTTTGGCCCTGCCTGTGCTGGCAGATACGCTCCTGCGTGACTGCTCGCCAGGGTGCAAGACCTGTGCCCATGCCGGCCTCTCAGGCTCAAGTTCACTAAGTTCAGCTTTTCAAGCCTACAATGCTCACACATCACACCTCTATTATGCCACCACCATCCCTGGTATGTCACGCTCATACCTCATAGCCTGATAGCCTATTTACCATGACGGCCATGGCATGACGCATGGTACAGATCCTTTTTGAACCATGCCGGCCATCAGCACCGGGCTGCAAGGGTCCTTCGGCAGCACGATGGCGCTCTGACGCACAGCACACATGATAGAGGCGCCCGGGCTCTGGCCGCGTAGGTATCCTGTGCACTCACCAATGCGGAGCTCTTGCGTGCTTTCGACCTTCCAGTCCACCAGCACCACGCAGAGCTGGATCTTGTCAGGGTGCATCAATGGGGAGCTGGCAATTGAGTAGCTTCTGGGCTTCAAGACTGGGATCATGTTCAGGAGCTGCTCAATCGGTGGGCGTGCGCTCTTGAACTTCCTCAGGACATCGGCATGGTGAGCGAAGTCATGTGTGAGATCGCGGTACAGAGCTTGTCCCTCGGCGCTGTTCTCCACGACACTGCGCAACTGACTCCGCTCCTTCTCATCTGATGCAAAGAGAGACAGCGTCTCAAAAAACTTGCGGTTGGGTTTGCCAAAGATATCCAAGACGTGCGAGAAGAGTTGGCGGACGTTGAGGTCCATGGGGCACCAGTTCCGCGCTCCCTCGAGCGGAAGAACACGGAGCTGTTGACCAGCATCCAAGCCCATGTCGGTGCAAAACTCCAGGACTTTGTCTACAGGATTCCGAGGCCAAATGGCCAGGCTCTCACCTGTCTTGTAAGAGACTGAGGTCCCCTCTATCTTGAACTCGTAGTGCCGAATGTCGCGGTCGTACTTTGCATCGCCCGTGAGCACAGAATTGTGAAGGAGGGTTAACTTTGTGGCTCCTGGTGGGATGATGTCGTCATCACTGACTGGAGGCTTGTCCACGGCTCCCGGGCTGACGTCAACTCGGTAGCATGCTGCGGGAGCCTCCTGGCTCAGCGGCAGCTGCGGGAGACCAAGCACCTCAGCAACCCTAAGACTCGGGCAACCGCTCATGCGCGACCGTCTGAATCCATGCACACACATGCATCACATGCACATTATGCACATTGGAAACATCTGAAAAAAAACTCCAAGCGCCTGCCACAGCTCGGGGAGCCAGGCCTCCCAGCCCGTGTAATACCGGTCCTCGTCCCGGTCGTCGCCAACACCGCGCTTGAGCAGGCGCTGTCCGCCAAGCTCACCCAAGCGCGTGTCAAAGCCAATGGCAGCAACACAGAACTGCGAGTAGGTCGAATCGCCCAAGCCAAAGACAGCGAACTTGGTTCCAGAGAGCCAGCTCATTGGCAAGTCCTGCGACTGGAGCTTCATCCATGTCTGCTTGCAGTTCGCGGGGTACTCGCCCAGTCCGCAGGTAGAGACAACCAAAATCACAATCTTTTGGTTGGGCAGCTCCTCAAAGTCAAAGTCGTCCATGGCTGAACAGGTGGCCTTGAGGCCCCGGGCCATGATGTCCTGCATCAGGTTCTTGGCCTGTTCCTCCGAGTTGCCCGTCTCGCTGCCGTACAAGATGGTGACTGAGTTGCCGGCAGAGCTGGCGTCTGAGAGGCCCTCCACAAGCTTGTGGAACTGGCCCTCCAAATCCTCCTTGTTCAGGACCTGCAAGAGGTGGTTCTTCTGGACAAGGTTGTCTTTCAGCTTGTCGTCCAACTCCTGCGCGTGCTTTGGATCCCGTCGCATCACAGCCGCGAAGCGGTTTTCCTTGGCCAGGAACTTGAACAAATCTCCCTTGATCTTCTTGCTGTCTAGCTGGAAGGGGTTGTTGCCGTGTGCCAAGGCCTCAGGGTTGTAACGGTACAGCGGCCAGTAGCCGGAATCCACTGCCATTTGGCAATGCTGGATGGACTCTGCCATGGGGAAGCCCTGACTGATACACGGCGAATAGGCCAGGATGATGCTGGGTCCTGCATATGCATCAGCCTCCAGCATAGCTCTCACGGCCTGCTGTGGGTTCACGTGCACACAAATGGAGGCCACATAGACGTTCTTGTAGGTCATGGCCAACTGCCCCAAATCCTTCTTTTGTGTGAGCTTGCCACCCTCGGCGAACTTGGCCATTGCCCCCTTGGGTGTGGACTTTGAGGCCTGACCTCGGGGCTTGCTAACAAGGGCGGGCCCTCAGGGATCCTAGGGATGGGGCAAACGCTACCAAGAGTTTCACAAAGGTAAGGTTGAGAAACTCCCACCTCCTGTGTTGCTGTACATCTCAGTGTCCAACACGAGAATGTTGACATGCTCCTGGCCAAAATGCTACCAAACCTAGTAAGCGAACAAACAATATCCCAAACCCTTGCTCCTCGCTGGCGATGACGTGATCCAAGCCACCATAGCCAATGTCATAGGCCCAGCCGTCGCCACCGACCATCCAGAAGCTAGATCGGCCGAACATATCTTCCATGGCATGCAGGTATTTGAGCTTGGGGTGGCTGTCCTTCTCCTTCTGCAGCAGGGGCTCCAGCTTCTCCATGATCTGGTGATAAATGCTGCGCCCGCGTGGCAACAGCAGGTCGTGCATTTGTTCCTTGCGCATCACAAGGTACTGCTGCAGCGCCTGGCGGAGTTCGTCCGACATCACGACTGTCTTGTCACCCAGTGTATCCTCCACCTGCATGGCCAGGTAGTCGCGGCGCTGCTTGAAGGCCTTGCGCATGCCAAAGCCAAACTCGGCATTGTCCTCAAACAGCGAGTTCGCCCAGGCAGGGCCCTCACCCTTGCTGTTGACAGTGTAAGGGAAGGATGGGTTGGAGCCTCCCCAGATAGAGGAGCAGCCCGTAGCGTTGGCAATGACCAGCCGATCACCGAACAACTGCGTCATCAGCTTCACGTGAGGCGTCTCACCGCAGCCCTCACAGGCGCCTGAGAACCTCACATCTCAAATGTCACCCGGCTTTCCAGGCCTTTCAAACTACTAGAAACCCTAGGAGCTCGGGAGGCGAGTATTGAACTTTATCAAACAAGCGGTCCCAGGGTAACGCTCCCAGCATTACAGGAAACACGTAATCAACATGCGTTCAAAAAGGCTCAAGGTAAGGTTTTTGGAATTGCGAGCCCTTGACAGTGGTCTTGTCAATCTCGTCCCCGCGATCTGGCAGGGTCACTGCAAAGTTCCAGTTGGGTTCCTCTTTCTCGATCACCTGACACTGCCACTTGGCACTGGAAGGTCTACAACTCTGGGAGTCGAAGTGACCGTGCCTGGCCAGCCGGGCTAAGCTTCAGCGCATCAGCTGGGCAGATGCGGACGCAGAGCTCGCAGCCGGTGCAATCCCAAGGAGAGACCTGAGAGAAGCAGACAAACAGTAGAACTCAATCTTTTCACAATCTGCAATGACCTGCCTGGATGCGGTACTGGAAATTGTCCAAAACTCCGCCGCCGATGGCAGCACGGCTGCCTGTGCGGAAGTCCTGCGGGGCCTTGCTCAGCTCCTGGGTCGTCGCCAGGAAGGGACGCACAGCCGCGTGAGGGCAGATGAGGCTGCACTTGTTGCACTGCGTGCACTTATCCATGTCAACAGTGGGCACGTTGATGGCAATGCCTCTCTTCTCATACTGGCTGGTGCCCAGTGGCACGCGGCCACCTGGAACGAAGGTGCTGACAGGCAGGGCGTTGCCGTCCAGGTTGTTGCAGTGGCTCTGGATTTGCTTGGCAAATTGTTCTGAGCTGAGGTCCACGATGGTCCTTGGCCCCTTGGCCTGCGTGCTGGCGCCCTTTGACTCCTCCTCCACGTCCAGCGATGCCCAAGAGCTTGGAATGGGGCACTCGATAATACCAGTCACCGATGCATCCACACCATCAATGTTCATCTTCACCACGGCGTCACCCTTCTTGCCATACATCTTCTTGATGCTCTTCCTAACTGCCATCAATGTCAACAGAAGAAGTTGCAAAAGGAAGGCTAGCTTGAAACCTGGGCCTCTATGAAAAAAAGTTGATGTCGCTTGCAGGGCCAGCGGCTTGAGCATCTCGATGGCCTCCTCGTACGGCATGACACCGCTCAGCTTGAAGAAGACGGATTGCATGATCATGTTGATGCGCTTGCCCAGGCCCGCCTTCACCGCGATCTGTGTCGCATCGATGATGTACAGCTTGGCCTGCTTCACGGCCAGGTCCCGTCGCATCTTCACAGGCAGGTGCCTGCACAACACCCTCACCCCCTCCGGCCCCCTCCTTCCCTGAGGCTGACACCCAAAAAGCTTCAAGGGCTAAACTGAAATGCCTTAGTTGCGTCCTGGAGGCTGCTCCAACTCTGCCGGGGTCCACGAGCAATTGATGACGCAAACGCCATTGGGCTTCAAATAGCGGGTCATGTCATAGCTGGACACGTAGCTCGACTTATGCACGGCCAGGTAATTTGCAGACCTGACGTTGTACGGTGCATGGATCGGCTTTGGGCCGAAGCGCAAGTGGCTGATCGTGACACCACCACTTTTCCTAGGATCCCAGGTGACACATGATAAAAAGCATTCAGTTTCGTTTCAGCGTAGGTTTCTACACAATGAAGGGACAGCATCACTCAGACCTAAGGCAGACCTAGTTTCTTTGCGTCGTATTCAAAGTATGCCTGGGCGTAAAGCTCTGTGCCCATGGCGATCATCTTCACAGCGCTCTTGTTGGCACCCACCGTCCCGTCGCTGCCCAGGCCGTAGAACATGCACTCTGTGGTACCTTGTGGTAGCACATCCAGCCAATCCCCAACAGGGAGCGAAAGGTTGGTGACGTCATCGTTGATACCCACTGTGAAGCGTGGTTTTGGGGTCTCCTTGGCCAGATTTTCATAGATGGAGAGGACCATGTTGGGCGTGAATTCCTTGGAACCGAGGCCGTAACGCCCACCGATGCACACAATGTCCGACCGCGCTGTCAGCTGGAGCGTGGCAGAGACCTCCAGGAAAAGCGGCTCGCCCTGTGAGCCCTGCTCTTTGGTGCGGTCCAGCACGCAAATTCGCTGCGTGGTCTTCGGCAGGGCTGCCATGAAACGAGCTGTGTCCCATGGCCGGAAGAGACGGACCTTCAAGACGCCTACCTTCTGCCCCTTCTCTTGCAGGTACTTCGCCGTTTCACTGCAGGTCACAGCGCCACTGCCCATCACCACAATTACATGCGTGGCCTCGGGATGCCCGTCGTAGCCGTAGAGGGCATAGTGCACACCTGAACAGGGAACCCGCCGTTTACACGGAACAACACCGATACATACATTGAATAAGAATGCACTCGAATTTCGTTTTGCACCTGTCTTCGCTTCCACCAAACGAGACTTGGCCTCGAAAAGGTCCGCAAGGCCATCATAGAAGGAGTTCCCAGCCTCTCTCAGGCGCAAATCTTCCAACTCCTAATCCAATCAGCTCCCGTCCCAGCCTATCCCTGCCTCTACACACTGGAAGAAAATGTCAGGACCTTGAGAGGTGCCTTGCACATGCGGATGGCGTGGGTTCATGGCGAGGTCATGGTGTTCCTGCCATGCGAGTAACAGGGCTAGATGAGTCTCTGTTAGGACCATGCTGTTCACAAGCGCTTGCTTTGAAATGTTACAATTGCTCATGTTTGCTGCTTGCTCATGCAGTGGCAAAGCCAGCCTTGATGGCATCCCAGTTGATGAAGTCCTAATGAGACACTCAGCTGGGAGCTGCACGCTGCGAGCATTGTGCATTTCCCTCCGAAATCCTATTGCTGTGCCATGCTGTGCCATGCTGTGCCTTCATGGTGCTGTAGTCCACAAGCTTCACCTTGTTGACCTCGTGGCTTGTGCGGAAGCCATCGAAGAAGTGCTGCACTGGCACCCGTCGCTCCATGGAGACCAAGTGGGATACCAGGGCGTTGTATTGTACCATTTCCACGGACTCAGAGGCCAGCATGGCCCAGCCCGTCGAACGGCAGGCCATCACATCGCTGTGGTCCCCGAAAATAGACAAGGCCTGCCCAGCAAGAGCTCGCGCCGCAACGTGCATCACGCAAGGGAGCAGCTCCCCTGCAATCTTAAACCTGGGTT